ATCAGTCAGAACCCACTAAGTCATAATCTAAATTCTTCAGTGTCAGGTCCAGGAGAGTGAGTTAGTGTTGACATATGATGACCATGAGGGGGGTGGAGCCAAAATGGCAGAGTAAAAGCAGTGACTTTTTGAGCACTCCCCCAAACTCCTCCAAATACCTGTAAAAAATGGCTCTAAACAAATTCTAGAGCAGCAGAACCCACAAAAAGACAGAGTGAAACGAATTTCCAGCCCAAGACATATGATGACCACACATAAGTCTCATCTACAGTTCTTTCCCTGGAGCCATAGCCAATACTTTCCCTCCCCGGGAATTCAATTCAGGTTATTCACATACGGTCAAGATGCTATTTCAGTACTGAGGAAGAATGTTCTGCTCCTCGATAGGCTTCGATGAGTATTTTTTAACAATTCACGGTATGAATAGCCTTGTGAATGAATGACCTCCAAAGATGTGTAAGGCAAGATGGTGGTCACGGTGGTGGCAGTGGGCAGTATGGCCTACCTGCCTGGCACATGCTAGCCGCTGCTTCTTCCTCAGGATGCCCTGCTGCCAGCAAGGCTGGCTTGCCAGCCTTACTGGTAGCAAATGGTCAAGCTGTACTAGATACTATAGGAATTACTAAAAAAGACCCAGTAGCTGCCACTGAGGAAATTGTCCTAACAAGTCCAGAGAAGTTACAATTAATACAATAAATGCTAATAACCAATAAAACCAGTCTTGGTGTATTTAGTCTTAGATGTTAGTTCCTTGAGGACAGGGACTATGCTATAGCTCACTTTGTATATGCTTCATGGCCTAGCTATGGTTTATAGATAGTAATGTTGTTCCTTTTTTTAAAAAAATTTAAAATTTTTAATCTTTTTGATTAATTAATTTTTAGTTTTCAACATTCACTTCTATAAGATTTTGAGTTCTAAATTTTCTCCCTCTCCTCAAGATGGCATGCAATCTGATATAAGCTCTACATACACATTCATATTAAACATATTTTCACATTGTATTATAAAGAATTAGAATGGGGCAGCTAGGCGGCACAGTGGATAGAGCACCAGCCCTGGAGTCAGAAGGACCTCAGTTCAAATCTGACCTCAAACACATAACACTCACTAGCTGTGTGACTCCGGGGGGCAAGTCACTTAACACCAACTGCCTCACCAAAAAAAAAAAAAAAGAATCAGAACCAATGGGAGAAACCATGAGAAAGAAGAAACCAAAAAAAAAAAAAGAGAGAGAGACAGCAAATAGTATGCTTTGATCTGCATTCAGACTTTAGTTCTCTTTTGGAGTTGTCTTAGATCCTTGTATTGCTGAGAAGAGCTAAGTCTATCAAAGTTAGTCATTTCACCTACCAGGCTGGCTAATGTGGGAAAATTGGAACAGGAATGTTGTTCCTTGCTGCTGCTGCTGAATATTACAAATGGAATTTTCTTTAGTCCCCTGAGTCAATTTCCTGACCTGTAAGATAGACTCAAGCAGATAATTTCTAATAAATCTTCCATCTCCAACAGTCTACATATTCCACAACCATTTAAGAAAGAAGAGGGAATAGACATTCTCCATTGAAAAACAGATGAATAAACAAATTTTATCTACTAAGTCCGTGAGCATAACAGGTAAAGGAAGTTGGCAGAGAGAAGTCACCCAGACATAGGTACTCTGGCACCCCAAATATTCTGTGCTTTCTCATGACTGAATGGGCAGCATATTACTCAGGGTTAAGCAGAATCCAGCACTCCTAGTATTCCAGGTTCAAGTTGCCAGGGTGCAGGGAGGGCAGAAATATCAGAGCCACAGGAAGCTTGCACACATAGTACCATTTTCTTTGTGGGAACAAAACTGACTTGCCTTTTAACATAAGGTTGAATCACTAAGTTGAAAGGATTTCACTGCTGTTTCTGCCCCCTCCAATTCTATTTTGCATCAGTTTTGGAGACCAAAAAGCACAAACAGTCCTGAGAACATTATTCGTGTTCAGACTTCTTAAAATACAGTGTGCTGACAGAGGGCTCCTGGAGTCAGGCTCAAGTCGGGCTATTCTATTTTCTAATTTCTACTGGACTCCAAAATGCTGCTGACCTAACCCTTCCCAAATAAAAGACTGAGAAAAAACAAAAAGGTGGCCAATTGTGAAAAGCCCAAAGTAACTCAAACTTGTTCTTGAATTGGTTGTGGGTGCTTGATGGAAAGAATGCATCCCAGTCTCCAGTGGGTGCCAGTTCTTTCCAGTGTTGAAGAACAGAAAGCATAATAAAAGGGCCCTTTTCTTTTCCACATTTACATAAGCACTGATGGGTTGGGATTTAAGGTTTCTTTTTATGCTAAAATTTAGAGCAAAGGAAATAAAGTAGAAATAAGAAAATCAGTCACCAGGAGTGCACAGAACTTTAAGAGATGTTCAAATCTATCCAGGGATCAGCAAACTATAGTTACTAGTGCCTTTTCCTATACAGGTCAATGCACCAAGAACGGCTTTTACATTTTAAATTTTTGTTGTATTTAGAAATGTAATAAAAATTCTTAGCTTGCAGCCTTCCTAACACAGGCAGTGAGCCCAATTTGGCCCTTAGCAGTAGTTTGTGGACCTTGACCTCTGGTGTCTACCCTCCTTTGAAGTAGTGAAGTGAGGCCCAGAGATGGGAGGGAATTTGCTCAAGGTAGCACAGCTAACCATGGGAAATAGTCTAGAACTCTCAATTCCCTGGTTGAGACTCTTTCCCCTATACCCCCTAATTTTGGTCCTACATAACTTTATTTTTTTTTTTTTTTGCTTAGGCAGTTGGGGTTAAGTGACTTGCCCAGGGTCACACAGCTAGTGTCAAGTGTTTGGTCTGAGCCCAGATTTGAAGTGGGGTCTTCCAGACTTTGGGGCCTGGTGCTCTATCCTATATGCCACCTAGCCGCCCTCCCCTAGATAACTTTAAATTTGTGGTCATATGCCTATTTCTGTTCTGGGCCACAAAACTTGATTTCTGTTGGCAGGTAGTATAGTACAGTGGTTAAGCATACTGAACTTAGAAAGTCAAGAAATGTAGGTTCATAAGTTGGATCATCTGACACGTACTTACGTAACTCTGGACAAATCATCTAACCTTTCTGAGCCTACTTCCTATAAACTTAGGATAATGATGCCTGTACTACCTACCTCAGTGTTGTGAGTGTGGTGACATAACACTGTTATGTCAGTCATGTAAGAAATATTAAGATATATTATGACACCATATTAATTTGAAGTCCTTGGTCTCACTTGAATCCAAGATCTAATCAGTCCTCCTTAAAAAGAAGACCCAATTCCAAGGAGGAATCTTGATTCCCTGAAACTAAGTCTTAGTTATATCTACGGTGAACAAAGTTAAGTGTGAAAATGTCTTTAAAATTCAGTTAAGAAGTATGTCTGTTCACCTTGGGTCAGACTAAAAAGGGATTGAAGGAGAATTGACTGGTTTCAGGAATGCATCTTCTGCAAAGGTTCCCCACCATTATTAACATTAGGCTAGCATTGATCTAGTACTTGAAGGTATGCAAAGCACTTTTACATATTATCTATTATCTCACTGAATCCTCAGTGAAGGAGGTGGTATTATCATTTTACAAATGGAGAAACTGAAGTAGACAGGCAAGGTGAGTTGCCCAGAGTCACATAGCTGGTAAGTGCCTGAGGCTAGATTTCAACTCTATCCATTCTTATGCCTAGCTAAACTTAAATTATGCTCCTTTTTTTTTTCTTTGTGGTAGAATTTTGTCTTTTATTTTAGGTTTTACCCTAAGTAAGTGGAAACTGCTTGAGGAGAGGGAATTCCAATTAGCAGCCTATTTGGATTGTTGTCCCAGAGTTGTTCTTCCACATAAGAAAGTACTTTGTAAGTCTTAAATTGCTAATAGTAAAGGGACCTATTGTTACTATTATTCTGGTTCAGCCTCCCTACACTTCAAACTTCCAAAATTCATGGGTGAAATGGGAACACAGCACAATGGCTCCCCCTGCATACTTCGTAAGTTAAAATTTCTGTAACATTTTAAAGTTTGCAAATCACTTTCCGTGTATTTTCTCATTTCATCCTCACAACAACCCAGGGAAGTGGGCACTATTTATATTTCCATTTTCCAGATGAGGAAACTGAGGCTCAGAGGTTAAGTGATTTGCCCACACATAAGTGTGTGTGTCTAAATCATAAGTGTCTAAACTCATGTTCCTGATTCCAACTTCAGTGGTCTATGCACAACGGAGAAGCTCTGAGAAGCTTAGAGGGCAGGCAGCAAGTAGAAGAAGCTAACTCTGGGATACAGCTCAGGCACTTTCTGGAAGGGCTCCAGCTTGATTTTCCAGCTCGATGGATGACAGATGTGCCAGTAGCGGGTTTAAGCAAATGCTGTTTGGCCACAAAATGAGGATGCACAGGACTCAGACCTGAATGCTAAATTCCAATTCATTTTATAATAGACAATGCAGAAGCAGCAAGAACCCTACTATTATTCTAGCCGCAAAACTGGTATTTCGATGACTTAAAATAATGTTATATTACTTTATGTTCTTTCATTCTACATATACATTTTCTGGATTTTTATACCCTCTCTTTCTACATCTAGAAAATTTCTTTCTTTAATCCTATTTTTCTAATTTGGAATTAGAACTGAAGGGACCTTAAACATGGCTTAGTCTACCTCCCTCATTTTACTAATGAGGAAATCAAGGTTCAGTGAAATTATGTAGGTAGCAAGGGGCAGAAGCGGGATTTGTACTCTGGTCCACTGACTCTGAATGTAAAACTATACTAAGCTGCCTCCTACTTGTATAGAAAAGCTAGCTTAAAACTTGGCGACCATGTTCCCTTCCAATATATTTTAATCTGGTATTCACCCACCTGCCCATAACTTCGTAGTCTGCAGGTCAAAACACACAAACACACTCACAATCTCACACACATATATACCTGTGTACACGAATCCTACCCTGCAATTTAAGAAAAATAAACCAGGCTGGAGAAAGAGAGCAAATAAATACATTTGTAAATGTTTACTTTCCAAAATGCCGATTTGCAGATACAGGCAGAATCACAGATCATATATTGGAGGGTGAATCACTGCCACCAACTTGCCTGGTGTAGTTGTCCTAATGGCAAAGTACAGAGAGAACTGGGGGCAGGGAACAGCAGGATGGCTTCTATACTTTCATTTTTAACCTTTGGAAGGAGATGTCTGCTTTAAGAAATATACATTTCCAGGGGACAACAGGGTATACTTTCATCCCATCATAAAGAGCGAAGCCACCCAATGTCACCACTGGCTGGTCAAGGCCTCGGCTCCTCCGTGCCCGAGTGGTGAGGTGGGGGAGTATACTTCCCTTCTTTCATTAGCTTCTCCTTCTGCTTCATGACTGCTCCCATGCGTTGTATCTGCCAAAGGAAAAACATATAGCCAATGAAAAAATATTCAGAAAGGTATAATCATGCAGGTTATGAGCAGATTTTTGCTTAGTGGCCGTCACCATCGACAGCCTAACACAAGGCTAAGAAAGAGGCAGCTTTTCAAGTTGACCTCTGAAACTCGAGCTATTTCCTGGACAACCTGAACAATGCCACCTAGATTATAGTTATAGAAAAAAGAAACAATTATAAACCTGGCCTACATCTTATGACATACAGTTTAATACAATTCAAACATTAATTAGGCACCTACCATGTGCAAGGTCTTATGTATGGCAGGGTAGCCAAAGGAGTGAGTGGGGGTCAACAGTGCCAAATGCTGATGCATCATCTTTAGACCGTCTTACGATAAAGGTCATTTTCTGCTACAACAACAGCAGAATGCTACATTTTCTCCAAGGGGGCAAAAAAATGACTATGGCCTCTTCAACCAATTCAGGAAGATGATCTGAGAGGCTGAACTACAGAAGAAGACTTTAGTCTAGGTCCCAGGTTCTCTCTCTACTAAACTTTTCCTCTGACACCTAACTGTGGTATGGAAGTGACCCCAGACACTTGAAGCCTCTGCTGATAAAGTGGCAAACTCCGGTAGAGCCTACTGACACGGGAGAGAATCTCTGTTGCCCCAGGACCCCTAGAGCCAGGTTCAGAGAGGCTGTTGGCCAGGGGAGCTACAGGCACTTCTTTAACATTCCTGATTATGTCACAGAGGTGTGGTGATCTTCGTAAGTTAAGAATGTCCCCAATGATGAAATCACAGATCCTTTTGGTATTTCACTCTTCATGTATTCTGTACAGATTATCATCCTGAAGTACTTAGAACATAAAAGCCCCAGCAATCTTAACGCCATAGGACAACATGCTGCCCCCGTACCTTAGGCAAGGCCTTGAAGCGCTAGGCGACTAACATCTCCTGATACAAAGCTAACTTTGTCTGGTTAGTGACTGGCTGGAAGAGGAATGAAAGACAGGCAGGAGCTTAAGTGAGGCGTGAATTTAGGAAGGTTTCTACTTCCGACTCTGCCAACATAGTCACTCACAGTACTACTAGGTACTTTTCTTCCCTCCCCCAACCCCAGGCCTCAGTTTCTTCATTTGTATAATGAGAGGGTAGGATTAGTTTCCAAAGTTTCTTTCCATCTCTAGCACTGGGATTAAAATTTTTAAAATGCACTGATGTTTAAAAAAAAACATATCACTGTCACTCCCTAATGACATACTCTCTTCATCTTGGCACCGCCACCCCAGCAAACAAAAAAGTGATTTGGGCCAAACTGATGATCTGTGCACACCTGACGAGAAAGACCTCACTTCACCCCTACATTCTACCCTCTCTTTTTGACAGAAGCAGAAGATGTGCTTCACTGAGGTCTGACTTGCTGATTACCCATCAGTATTCTGAAGCCTTTTAATACTGTTTTCCTTTAGGTAACTGTGGTCATCCTGTGAATTATTCTCCTTGTTCTACTTACTTTATTCTGTATCAGTTTCTAGGATTCTAATTTCTCATACTGCTTATTGACTGTTCTTCCAATCTTTTAGGGAGTCTTTTAAAAAAGTGTTTTGTTTTTTTTTAAATAGCCAATATCTTAATATGATCATTAAGTGATTCAGAACAACAACAATAATAAAGTAAGCCATATTTTATCTTAAGAAAAAGTTGGAAATGGATCCTACAACACAAACTAAATATTTCTGTTCTAAACAGAACTATACATCTGAGACTCCCCTTCTCTCCTCCCTGCCTAACTCTAAGAATGAAAAGTCTCCTAAGAAGGAAAACTTTATTTTCTTATTTGCTATAACCTCTGGTGAAAAGAAACAGACAAACTGCTTGCCTGTCTCACAGGATCAACTGATGGTGCTGATGTCTGCTTTGCGACTCCTTCCTTGAATGTGGATGAAGTCTCAAAGAGGGCTCCTTGGGATGCCCTTTTCTTATTTCATCAGGCTCACTTCCCTGGTCAGACTGACCAGATATAATACTATTGATCCTTTTGTGTCTGAACTAATCCAGGATTGTTTTTTTAACAACGGGGCAGGGTATGACTTATTACATATACTCTTTGCACCAAGGTTCACTGACCTGAAATATCTAATTGACGATTATGAAGGGCAGCTTCTGGGACCAGTAGTGATTTTCCAACTGTAACATGACCAGGCATGTGTGATTATGTGCACTCACCCAGACGTACAGAGAAATGCCTAACTCTGTGATTCTAATACTTGTAAAGAAGGTGGCCAGTTCGAGAGGCAGGAATATATTTACAGAGAGGAGGATGGCCTGCATGAACTGTTTCTCAGATTCAATCCTTGTGTGTCTCTTAGGGGGTACATGTCAAACTGGGGTTGACCCTCTAGCTGGAGTTCCTCTACTCTGAAAGGAGACAAGTATGGGTCTCAGCAATATGAAGAGTTCCTCCCTACTTCAGTATCTATTACAAAATTCAATTCAAAATATTTATCAATCTATCAAAATATCTATTAAAGGACAACCAAGATCCACAGTTACTAGAATCACTTATTACTATTGTTGCACATGACCAAAGGATGGGAAACTTTCTTGCATGGGACTTCAAATCACTTGAATAGCAAGAAAAAAGTCACTACTATGCTAGCAGGTAGCTCATGTAGATGAAGAAACAGTGGACACCAATACTACACTCCTGATATTATCTTACACCTGGTGGGACATGCCATAGGTACCTGCCTTTTAGAAGGTCATTATAGCAATTTACTAACTTAAAAAAATAAATCAACCTTATATTGAGTTTAGCACTAGAATGAAGAGAACTATGATGTTGCTGTTCAGTTGCTTTTTAGTCGTGTCCAACTTTTTGTGACCTCATTTGAGGTTTTCTTGGCAGAAATACTGGTGTAGTTTGCCATTTCCTTCTCCAGCTCATTTTACCAATGAGGAAATTGAGGCAAATAGGGTTAAGTGACTTGCCCAGGGGCACATAGCGAGTAAGTTTCTGAGGCTCGATTTGATCTCAAGAAGATGAGTTTTCCTGACTCCTGGTCTGGCACTCTATCCACTGCCCAGCTGCCCCCAAAGAGAACACAAGTCTAATGTATTTTCACACACGGCAAACTGAACTGTTAGACATGAATGGACACAAACTATTTCCCAAAGAAGAGTTATCACTTCCTTCCTTCACTGTTTCACATCCTCACCGTTTTCTGCCTATGCAAACACTCGACGAAATCCTCATATTCCAAGTTGCACTCTTTCTTGGCTCGGGTCATACCAATTCCATGGGCACACTCAATGAACTCCTTCTCGAAAGCATGGCATCGGGCCGGCATTCTGTAAGGTTGTTCAGCACTCATAGCTGTCATCCATTTGTCAATATTGAGGCCCAGCCGGTTCTGAATATCAAAGAATGGCATGGCTGCAGTAAAAGTTAACAAGAGAAGCAATGTTAAGCCACAAAAACGAAGCAACATAATAAACCCTTTAGAAAATATGCTAGTTAACTATGGCAGACGGCCTTTAGGACAAAGATTTTTTACTACTCTTAACTAAATTTCAATGTTAAAATCCTACCTTCAATTCAAGCCCAAACTTGAGTCTACTTCTTCCACAAAGTCTTCCCTGCTCCTTCAACAGAACTGATTTCCTGCGTGTCCCTTCTTTTTGCATTTATGCAAAAACTGCATTACAGTTACTTGTGCTGGGCTTGTTCCCCTGATTCTACATAAACTTCTTGATTGCAAACACCATGCCCACCTCATCTTTGTATCTCACCTAACACATCGAAGTCTGATGTGTACATAACAGGTACTGAGCTTTTGTGGAATTTTAAACTCAAAACTTGCTCACAGACATAAGAACCAAATAAGAGAGAACATATCTCATCAGAAAAGTATTATGCTAGATAAATGATTTTCTCAGAGAAAAATCTAAAAAGATCATCTTTCTACTAGCTCTACAAATTGCTTCCTTAAATAAAAGCTTCCTGCTAGAAAAAGAGGAGAGAAAAGAATGTTGGACTTGTAAGGAGAAAGCCAGAGCCCACCTCTAACACATGATGTGACTAGGTAAGTAACTTATTTAACCTAAGTCTCACTTTCCTCATCTCTAAAATGGGGAGCACTCACTTCATACGGCTGTTGTGATGATCAAAAGAGATAATCTACGTAAAGCATTCTGTAAACCTTCAAGTACTAGATAGATGTTAGCAATTATTAGAATCTGCCGTGCAAACACTTTGAGGTACTAATTCAATTCATAAATATTTGAGTGCTTACTGCACGCAGGAGGAATGCAAAAGATAATTGAGTATGGTCTGTTGCACCATGGGGTCTCTCTTTAATGCAGTTATCACAGTGTTTGGTGGTTAAAGGGAAAAGGTCAAGTGTTCTGGGAAAAAGGACTAGGTTTAGACTCAGAAGAAATAGATTCAAATCCTACTCTGCTAACCTACCCGTGTGACCTCAGGCAAAGTATTTCGCTCCAGGACTTCAGTGTCCTCATTATGATAATAGCTTGCACTGATACAGGCTTCAAGGTTTGCAGAAATGCTTTACATACATCAGCTCCTCTAAAGTTCAAGATCTGCCCCATCCCAGGTGAGAGATGCATCTTAAAGATGAAGTAACAGCCACAGAGATTAGGTGACTTGGCCAGAGTCACATAGCTTCTAAGTGTCTGTGGTAGGATTCAAACCCAGGTTTTCCTGACTCCAAGTGCAAGGAATACAAATACACACACACACACACACACACACTCTCACGCACCCTCCACTACACTCTGTTGCCTCTCAATAAAATGAAAAGGTTGAACTAAATGATATCTAAGATCCCTTCCTGCTTTAAATTCGTGATCCTAAATACTAAGGCTGTTTTTGTCTTCCTTTATACCCCCAGCATTTAGCAAATGCCTGGCACATAGTAAGAGCTAAATAAATGCTTGCTGATTCACTGACTGAGCTCACTGGACTTTGGATACAGAAAGATGCCATTTGAACTGTTCTAGCAAGATTCTCATGCAATTCACAGGAAAGGTGAGAATACATGGTTTAGGAAAAGCAAGGTCCTTGTTGCCCTTACAGACCTGAGAGTCTAGTAGAGACAAACAACTATTAATGCAAAATAATGCATAAGTATGTAACATTTCTATAATATTTTAACCATATACAAAATGTTGTCCATACAACAATCTTCTGAAGTAAATACAACGGTTACAATCCCCATTTTACAGATGGGCAATCTGAGGCTCAAAAAAACACTACTGAGAACATGATCACAAGTCAGATTCATTCATTCATCCATTTAACAAACACATATTAAATACCTATGTAAAAGTGAAAGACACTGCTTAGCACAGCAAAAACAAAGATGAGGTAATACCTCAGCTGGGCCTTGTGGGATTTCAATAAGCAGACACTAGGGAGTGTTTTCAGGAGCCTCTAAGTAGTGCAATGGCAAGAGAACCAGACCTGGATTCAAATCTGGCCTCAGAAACTTACTAGCTATGTGACCCTGGGCAAGTCACTTCACCCTGTTTGCCTCAGTTTCCACATCTGTAAAATGAGCTGGAAAAGGAAACGGCAAATCACTTCAGTATATTTGCCTAGAACATTAAGTGGGACATGACTGAACAAACAAGGAAGCGTTTTCTGTTGCATCCCAGGCAATACAGATGGACTGCACAAATGAGTGGCAGGACGTGAAGAATTTCGAGATATATGGGGAGATCTGAGTGAACTAACGCACGGCAAAAGTAAACTGAACCACGAGGATAACATACATGACTACAGCAATGTAAACAAAAAGATCACTAAAAAGAAGTATCTCATCCTTTTTAAGTGTGTAAGCTGGGGCAAGTTACTCTTTGTGCCTGTTTTCTGTAAAATCTGTAAAATGAGGTTGGACTCAATGCCTCTAAAGCGCCTTCCAGCCCTAAAAACAATGGAGGTCCTGGACTGGATAATGGAGCATAATGATCCTGTCACAACTGGGTGGGTGGGATGTGTGCATTTCTCTAAGGAAAAATTTTGTATACACTGTCAAGGTGGAGTCATCATGTGTTACTTCTTATTTGTCTTTACAAGAGAGGGTTAAATCTGGGGGGAGGGGAACCAACTGAGATGGCTACGATATGGACATCAAAAGCATCAGATAAAACATTTTTCTTTTAATGCAGGAAGGGGCAAGATAAGAAGTCAGGTTTGTGCTGTTTTACCAGGCTAGATTCTAATCATAAGGAAGGCTTTTCCAGAGCATGGACTGCCTCAAACATAAGAATTTTAGTCACAAAGGATGACTGGTCAACTTGAATTATTTCCCCTCTCTGGGCCTCAGTTTCCTCATCTGTAAAATAAGGAAGATTGGATGATAATCTCTAATGTCCCTTCCAGCTCCAAAGACCCAGAACTTGTCCAAGGTCACATCAGGTTAGGAGTGCAGGGACTGGACCCCAGGTCTACCCCTTACGGTTGGCACATGAGCACAGTGCAGATAAAAGGCTGGGTGGTGCAGTGGGCAGATCGCTGGGCCTGCCTGGAGTTCAAATACGACTTGGGTGACCCCGCGCATGTCATTTAGGCGCTGTTGGCCTCAGTTGCCCACTCTGTAAAATGGGAACAATGGCAGCCTCCCTTGGGTGCTTGAGATGATAATTGTTAAGCTAAGCTTATTAGCTTTTGGGCCTCCGCCGCCGGGAGGAGGGAGGGCTTCCTGGGGGCGGCGTCTGTGGGTCAGGGGACACAAGAAGGGGCCACAGAGGTCACCTCGCCCTACCCTCCCGGAACAAGCAGAGGCTCTAAAAAGTCGGGTGACCGGCCCGGGGTCACCCCGAAGGTGTGGATTCCCGCCCCACCCCGTCAGGTGGGGCCCAGACCAGGCGAGAAGGGACCCCCGGCATGGGCGTGTGGAGGAGGGCCCGTCTTCCCCCCCTCCCGCCAGCCCGGGCGGACACCCGCGGGTCACCTGCGGCCTAGTCCAAACGCCGGCCCCTTTTCTTTACCACAAGCCCCTGCCGTCTTACAGCTTCTTCGCGACCCCGCTGGCCGTAAAGCGTCGTCGTAACCGCACGACACTCAGAGTCCGCCCCTCCGCGCAGGTTCGGACCAAGCAGGGGCGGGGGTGGGGGGGGGGGGGGGGGGGCGCGGGGGGGGGGGGGGGCGCGGGGAAGCACAGCCGTCGCACTGCGCCTGCGCCCGGGGAAGATGGCCTGGGTAGAGAGGAGAGCCGGGGAGAGGAAGGGGGTGAGGAGGAGGGAGGAGGGAGGGGTGGTGGCGAGAACCGGCCGGGCTAGGACGAAACCATGTGGGCCACTCCACGGGGTAAGTGGAAGGATGGGTGGGCACCATTCTGTAGCCAGATGGGGGTGGGATCCGATATCTATCTGTCCATAGCATTTACATCTTGCTAGAAATAATTTTAGAGAGACGTTGTCCGGCCCTCTCATTTTACAGAGAAGAAAGCCGGGTCAGTGTGGAGACTAGATTGGGCCCCTAGGTGGCGCAGCGTATAGGCAGGAACGAGCCCGGGTTTCTTGCCTCCGAATCCAATTTCTGTTCTGTTGGAGCAAGGATAGGAGCGATGGAAAAGGGATGGCTGGCCTGAGAGACCCAAAAGGAAACTCGGGGGGTTTACTTATTGTTAATCATTTTATTATATGTTGAATGACAATCAACAAAAACAATAAATACACAAAGAGTATTTATAATAACTAATATGTAGCTGCATATAGCACTTTTGCATTTTGCAAAGTGCTTTATATATTACCTCTTTTGGTGCAAATAAATCTTATATAAAATGGAATCCTCTATATTTAACAAAGTAGATCCTCAGAATTAACAATTAAATAGAGGTTTTTATTCTGAGTTCATGCCTAAAATTCTATCATCTCTGGCATTATTCTCTACTTAAAAAAAAATAAACGGTTGTCACTGTGTTTATAGTTCCCATTCTGCTAATCTTGCCACTGTATCCCTTCATGTAGACCTTTCCATATTTTTGTATGCTTCATTTTATTGTTTTTTTATAGCACTGTGCTGTTCCATTACATTCATATACCTTAATTCAATAAGCCATTCTCCAATTGTTAGACTATATCAGATTGTTTCCAGTTTTTATTTTTATTTTTTTCTAGTGTAACCCAGTTCCAAAGACTATTGGTATGGGACTCTGCCCTTCTTGGTGGAGATCAATGTTCCTGTGTGAAGGGAAGAGCAGAATTTCCAAGAAAGGAGAAAGGAGTCTTCTGGACTCTTTAAGCCCCTACTCCCTTCTGGAGCCTCTGGCTTCCATCTTTGAGAGGTAAGATGGAAGAAGCCAACCCTATTTTAGTTTGCTGAAGGAAAAGACTTTGGGAGATGTAAGTCTCTATCATGTCTCTATTCTCAGCTGTCTACAATAAAGACTTTTAGAGAACTTCCCCTTGGGTGAGATTTATGACTCTCTTTTGGTTGATTTATCTCAATCCCAATGGGAGAATTCCTTCACTCTGAATTGTCTGGTATATATTTTCCTAAGAGGTATATGGGGTGTTCAGGAGGACCTCTGGCGTGAGGGTGTGCTCCACTTCTTAGGGCTGCTAATCCACCTCTGATTCCACCTGATTTCATCCAACTCTCATCTGTGGCTCCAAGAAGTTGTAGTGCGTGCATTGGCTACACTCCAGTAAACTGTCTCCGCAGATGGGCTAAACCAGATTCAGGGTAATTGACAAGGCTCAAACATGTTGGTGAGTTAGGGGGGATATCTACCCCAAGCGTGTGAAGACTTCCCCTGGTGAAATGGGCAGATGAGATCAATTTGTTCCAACAGCCATGAAGGTGGCTGAAGCAGATGCTGTGGAGTGCTTAAGAGCTTGGTCAGGCTTTGAAGATGGCAAGGTCACCCACTGCATCCTGGGCCATCACCAGTCATTCTGACTTTTGTCCAGCCATTGGACTTTGATGACTTTGAATGAGAGAGTGAGGCTGATTACTCTGTGAAACTCTGGCTCACTTAAATCCAGTTCATGAGGGAAGTCAAGACATCACCTTGTGACATCATTGGTCCTTTTTGAAAATAAAAGACAGGGGCAGCTAGGTGGTGCAGTGGATGGAGCACTGGCCCTGAAGTCAGGAGAATCTGAGTTCAAATCTGGCCTCAGACCAAACACTTGACACTTACTAGCTGTGTGACCCTAGGCAAGTCACTTAACCCCAATTGCCTAAAAAAAAAAAGGGACAAACAACAACATATTTTCCTAAGTATACTTACTCTGATTTCTATTTGTTACTGATTTGAATAAATGGGTTTTCTTGGCTAAGTGTTATGTGTGTTCATGTGGAATTGGTATTTCATCGGAAAGGGGTCACACCTTAGATATAATAAAGCTTGGGGTTTCCCTCAAATAATAAACAATGATCGGAAGTTAGCTTGAACCTGAAAACCTTGACCCCCTAGACAAAAGTATTTAAGGGAGCAGACAGATATAATTCTAACCCTGTATCCCCACTTTGAGGGGAGCAGTGACCTCTGGCCCCAACCTCCTGCTTCCCCTTTTGGCAGAAATTTGTGTTTTGTTTTTGCTTGGCAGTGGGGTTAAGTGACTTGCCCAGGGTCACACAACTAGTGAGTGTCAAATGTCTGAGGCAGGATTTGAACTCAGGTCCTGACTGCAGGGCCTGTGCTCTATCCACTGCACCACTTAGCTACCCCTTTTGGCAGAAATTTAAGTCTCCCTTGGAGAACTCTGCATCTGGTTCTTTTGATGCCTCTGAGTCAAGTAAGGCCTTGGGAGAAACCTGCAATGCACCAGCAGGATGACCACCTATTTAACTCTTGATGTTCAGCCTTATGGATAAGGCTGTTCGATGGCCTGCCTTAAAATAAAAATTAAAATCTCTATTTCCACAGTACTTTACAGTTTACAAAGTTGCTTTCCTTACTGCAGACTGAGCTCTACCTGGGGGGACAGGGGATGCTTAGGATGGAGGTGGCAGCGGAAAACAACAGCCAAAATTATTAGATGTTTTCTAGTAGCAACTTTAGCTGTGGGACACCTGATGCTGATTAGGTTTTCCCCCACCCTTTCCCCTACTTAACTCTCTTCTCCCCATCCTTCCTTCCCTAGCCTGCTCTCTGGACATGAGGAGGCCCAAGAGGCTTCCCTGTAGTTAATAAATTCTGGGAGCCTGCTTGAGTCTGCTGGTGGGGTGGGGAGGGGAAGTGGGAATCAGTGGAGCAATAATCTGACCCTTCCTTCCGGCCCCATATAGCTAGCACACCCATCTTTCTGGGAAGTTTAAAGACTGGCAAAGGGAAGGAGCTGCCATTGTTATTTCCCTTTTGACTTTGGAAGGCATCACAATATAGTGGGAAGAGGGCTGCATTTGACATCAGGGACTTCTAGGGTCAGAGAACATGGGTTTAAATCCTGGACCTGCTATTTAACTGTGTGACCTCAGAAAAGTCCTCCACCTCTCTAGACCTGTTTTTCTCAATTGTAAAAGGAGGGCGTTGGGAGTAGATGACTTCAAAAGGTCCCTTGTAACTCCAAAGCTATGCTCCTGACAGTGAATGCCAAATGCAATTACTTGTGTTATTTTTAACGTATGTTTAAAATGTTAGAAAACTTGTAATTATTTAAAACTTTTTATTTTTTAAATGAACAAAAATCTATTGTCTTGACCTCCAAATCACTCTAATAGAAGAAAAGAAAAACATAACTCTTTTAACAAATATGTATAGTCAAGCAAAACAAATTCCCAAATGAGCAATGACCAAAAAATGTCTCATTTTGCACCTTGAGTCCATCACCTGTCTGTCAGGAAGTGGGTAACATGCTTCATTATTCCTCTGCAATTTGTGGTTGATCAATTTTTGATATATTTTCAATTTTATCTGAATAAAATGCAAGCTAAGAAAATTGTTTGAGTAGGATATTTTATAAGTAATATCATATGGAGGTAGCTAGGTGGTACAGCAGATATAGCTCTGGGCCTGGAGTCAGAAAGAACTGATTTCAAATCCAGCTTGAGACATTCACTGTGTAATATTGGGCAAGTCACTCAACCTCTGTTTGCCTGTTTCCTCAACTATAAACTGGGGATAAAAGCACCTACCTTACTGGGTTGTTGTGAATCGCAAATGAGATACCTGTCAAGTACCTGGCACAGCAGGTACTTAATAAATGCTTATTCCATAAAAGTAGAGGTGGGATGAGTTTATTTAAAAGGAGAGCAGGGCTACATAAAGTTTGAAAATCAACCCTATGGAATAGGGAGTAAAAGTATGACTATTCCCACTTTGTGGTAACATCTACCCCCTTTTTCCTCTTTTCATTGCCCACCCCTCCCCCACCCTGGTATAGGCCCTCATGACCACAAATCTGGGTCTCAGGAATAGCCTCTTAACAGTCTCACAAGGCTGGACCTAGTCATCACCAGGTTGTCCATGGCACCTCAGGAAGAGTCTACTGGGGTGTGGAATCAACAGTCCATATCCCTTCAGGGAACAAGCCACATGGGCCATAGAAATGGAAGACACTTAAAAACCCATCCCTCTTCATTTTACAGATGAGGAAACTGAGGCTCTTAGGGTTTAAACAATTTGTCTAGGGTCATTTAGCTTGGCAATATCACCACATTAACCCTAAATGATATTTCTATAGTGATTTAGAATTTGCAAATTGCCTTGCATGTGTCTTCTCATTTGCCCTTGGTTCAATAACTCTGTGAGGTAAGTAGGTATTATTAGCCCCATTTTATAGAAGAGGAAAATGAAATTTGCATAAGGTGAAGTGATGAGTTGCGGAGGTGAATTCAAACCCAGGCCTCTTCCCAATGACAAATTCTGGATCTGTGCTATACCATGGGTAGCTGAGCAATGGATGAAACGAAGAATCTTTTGAAGTAGCAGAGACCATAATTGTTAAAACTGTATAATAGCAAAAGGGATAATAATACATATACATTAAATTACTAAGGCAATGGAAAAGGCAAGGATGCTTTTAATCTACACAGAATTATTGTCAATAACAAATACGTATTTCACCTCTGAATCCCTGGGAGATAGGGAAGGATCAGGGGTTGGACCAT